CTTCTGAATCATCAGTATCATCATCAAGTTCCATGTTGATCTGGTCAGCCGTTTTCCATTTTGACGTCCGTTTGACGGCTTTGGTTTTGGGGCGAGATGGTTTGACCGCTTTATCCCCAGTTGGCTTTACTGCTTTTTCTACGAATTTTCGTTTCCAGAAGGGATCATCACCCTATACATACATACACAGAAGAAGGATTACAAGTTGAACAAATTAAAGATGTCAAAGATGAAAGGGAAGTATAGTACTTACAGCAGGCGGTCTGTTCTTAATATAGAAGGGGTTCAGGCCGGTTTGACTACAGACTAGTTCCGATTCATTCAAAATTTTCTTTACACCTTCAGTGACTTCTTCATTAGTCACTTGAATGTTGCAATGGCGTTGAGGGTCGTCAACCTCACCGGTGTACTCACACATTAAACCGGGACGCGGCTTAGCGGCAAGATGCTCCAAGATATCCAACAGCGCACGAAATCAACACTTGTTAAACTATTGGCCATAAAAGCCCGGAGTTTGGCGAGTTGAGGGGCATATTTCGCCCTTTCTGCGAAACTTAAGCGTTGCGACATCGGATGGGTGTTGGAAAGCCGGTGATCACGAAAGCCTGGGAGGGGATTCTCATCTTCAGGAGAAGTGTCTCTGCAGTAAAACCAAGCCTAGTTCCATTCCTTTGGGTGGCTATGCAGTTTGGCATGAGGGAATTCAACTTCTTTTCGCTTCTGAATTGAGACACCACCAAGTTCAGTGTTGGGGCCATTTACAAATTCTGTGCGCCGGTTTAAGTGAAAAACGTCCCGGAACAGCTCCGCAGTTGGTTCTTCTTGTAGGTACACTTCACAGAAGACCTGGAAGTTGCATAGATTGGATACTGAGTTGGGCCCGATGTCTTGAGGATGGAGTTGGAAATTGGCAAGCACATCTCGGTAAAACTTTGACCCTGACGGTTTGAAGCCACGGCTTATGTGGTCAACAAAGACCACCACCTCACCCTACCTTGGGGTCGGAGGATTTTCTACTCCTGGAACTCGCCATTTAATTTCAGTTTTCTTAGGCAAGGAGCCGATGCTGACCATATCGTTCAATTGTTCCTCAGTGACCCGGGAACGAGCCCAGTTGCAAGCGGTAAATTGTTTGGCCATTGCGAAAAAAACAAGCTGGAAACGAAAGGCCGGTTTATAAATCACTCATGATGATATACAAGATGCATTGGAGTAAAAGATATACTGATATGTGAAATTGCATAAACCGGAGACCAATGCAATAATGGGTAAAAAGGCAATACCAGAACAGGGGTACCCAGACACTGTTAAATCGGAGTATAACTATGGAGGTAAAAGGCTCCTCTGGTTTATCAGAGGGCTAATGGTATAGATTGCTTATACAAATTTAAACCGCCTATATTGGTGTGAGGAGTACAGATCCAAAAATACCAAAGTAAGGGGAAACAGATTTCACATAGTTATAGGAAAATTTTGGATCTAAGGCATGACAGAAACTAGAATATATTCAGGTTCAAGCTTCAGATATTTAGACAGTTCAGCAGATTTAGATAAGTTGTTCTTCGTATAAAGAGAGAGTCTAATAAGGAGAATATGATTATGGCTACGGTCGCGCAAGGATAACAGATCCAACCTAGCCTGGGATGCTACAGAGAAGAAAAGAGAAGAACAGCACTGAGTTTTTCAACGAACTCCGACGAGCAGTGAAACCCTAAAAACAAGATCTAGGGTGGAAGGAAAAAGGGTTACCAGTATCACAAGAACGGCGGAGAAATGCCGCAGTATTCTGGTGCGTTCAGGATGATGCAGCGGCCGGGGTCGAAGCAGAGGCGACGGTCGACAGTGGCGGCGGAGCTCTGGAGGTTGAGCAGCGCAAGGAAGACGACGCGAAGAGGCACGAGGGGGAAAAAGTGAAAATGACCCCTCGGTCTTATTTATAAAGGCAAGGGATAGGTGTCAGGCGCGAAAATCGAGGAGCCAAAACATAGAAGAGAGGCGGAGCTGTCGCCTCGATTGTCGGAGGACCATTTAATGGAGATGTGTCATTCGTAGTTTTACAGATGACGTCACGACAGTTTACCATGATCTGAGAAGATGACGTCACGGCGGTTTACCAAAGTATGAGAAGATGTGGAAGACGAAGTTTTTACTAAGGATTGACATGAAACCTGTTTAAATCAATCTAGGGCCTAATGTTGGGGATATTACTACTGGACGTAAACCGGCCAGGAGTAGCCGGATTAACTTTATGAAGATGTGAAGATGATGACGCTTTACGAAGGCCCAAGGCCCAGAAGTGAGTTAAGGCCTGTAGATGTAAACCGACTTAATCATGTAACTTGCTTTGTAAGATAGGAAGTGTAGAGACCGAACCGGAAACGTTTATGATCCGGCTTCAGGACTCTGTAAAACGGCGGGCACCACCCATGTATATAAGGGGACGACCCGGTAGCGGTTCAAGGGACAGACAACAACTCGAGAGTCAGACAAAGCGGATTCGCTCCTTGGCCTTCGAAACCCTAGCAATACCAATCACAACTAGACATAGGCTTTTACCTTCCTCGAAGGGGTCGAACTAGTATAAAACTCCCTGTGTCCCCTTGTCCGGTTTAACCCCTTTAAGCTAACCCGTTACGATGGCTTCACGACTAAGTCCTTTCATAAGGACATCTGCTGTGACAAACCCACGACACAGACCATCCAACCACATGATTTTCACCATAGTGTCAATGGAAGATTTCAACCTCCCAAGGAATCAAACCAATAAAAGCAACATACAAATATGCAACACTAACATGAACTCATCAAGATCAAATAATCTAACTCGATAGGGACATAAACCTCGTTAGCTATATGGTAGCACCAACGAAAAGACCACAAACACACCATGGAACACCACTAGGCAATGACAAAGTGCACAAAGTTCTGATGATCCGAGGCCTTTTAACACCAAGATGACAGCCGAAGACGAGGAGACCAAAGATATCTCCGGCGACTGATGTTGTTCCTCATACCCTAACAGGATGCGGCCTGTCATCGAACATGTGGCCCATTCATCAATGGAGTTCTATTTGTGGGCCAATTAAAAGAGGACTGGTCAGCCACCCCGTAAACTCTGTAAGTCACATCCCATATGTCTAGGATTCGGTGTGTGAGAAATGTCGTCAGAGTTAAGCTATTTGTTGGTTTGATCATGAAAACAGAAATGATGCCTGGAAACAGATCATTTTCCACCCCACAAACTTGCATCGGGAAAAGAAAAAGGAGCGCGGAGGAAAAAACTGCAGGTTTATTCGACTCAATTGGGAATCAAACTCAGGCTGCCAATTTGAATGCCACACACGTTAACCACTAGGACAAGCTCACTTTGTTGATTATTAGAGGAAACAACGTTATTTGGCCCTTCTTTTAATACAAACATTAAACATATAGTAGTATTATATGCCAGCTATAAATTATTTGAATAAAGAAAATAGAAATTTGAAAAAGCATTCACAAAAACCACGAATTGAAAGAAATCGAAATTTTGAAAAAGGTTTGTACCGATTGAAAAAAATTCATCTATTTTGAAAAAAAGTTCATCGAATTTGAATCAAGTTCATCGACTCTAAAAAAATGCTCATCAATTTGAAAAAAAGTTCATAGACTCTGGAAAAAGACTTTACCAATTTTAAAAAAGTTCATTAAATTGGAAACAAAAATCAAAGATTTTGAGAAAAAGTTCATATTTTTTCCAAAACTGTCATCAAATTTGAAAAAATCAACAATTTTGAGAAAAAATTCACCAAATTTGAAAAAAACTTCATCTAGTATGAAAAAGGTTCATCAAATTTGAAAAAAAAATCATCAACAGTTGAAAAACAATTCATCAACTTCGCAGAAAAAGCTCATCGAACCAGGAAGAAGAAAAAAAAAGGAAGAGAGAAAAAAATAGAAGTACTAAAAGAATGAGAAAGATGAAGAATATCAGACGAGGTTGCATGGCATGGTGGGTAGTCCATTACGGGTCGAACTCTCCCCGCACACACTTCTTTTTGAGTGTTTGGAAACCGAAGAGAAGAACCTACTCCCTCCGTCCAGAAATATTTATCATTAAAATTGATAAAAGAAGATGTATCTAGACATATTTTAATTCTAGATACATCCTTTTCATCCATTTTGATGACAAATAGTATTTTCGAACGGAAGGAATACATATTAACACAGATAAATGGGCCGGCCAGCTAACGCGGCTGCAGGCGCCGGTTCGAATAGGGTTTGCCCCTAATCCAAAAGGTGCTGGCAGCCGCTGACGTCACGCCTGCTTCCGGGAATGATGGCCGCATATAATTTCTTTCTGTACTGTAGCCTGCAGGGTGGCCCATGGCATGCGCGCACGCGTCCCCTCCCAGCCACTATGATATCAGCTGCGCTCCACACAGCGAAGCCCGGAGGCGAAAAGGGGACCGAACAAGGCGGCCTCCGGACCGCCCGTCGATCCTCCCCTCTCACTGGGCACGGCAGCCCCCCTCGCATCCTCCGAAATCCCCCATTCCCCGGTTCGTTCCTAGGTGAGCTTCCACTTCCACTCCTGCACATTCGCTGGTTCTGTTTCGTTGCGCGGATGAAAATGTCCATTTTTTCTGGGAAAGAAATGGTTGTCAGGCGCTTGATCTGTGGCTCATGGTTGCTTAGATCCGAGGCATTGGGGGCATCGACTGGTGGGATGGAACCCCTCTTGCATTCCGCCCATCGCTTGTCTGTCCGTCCGTCCGTCTGTGTGGTTTCTCGAAGAGGGATTCAGAATCACACACACTGCTTTCCTGTAGTTTAGTACTGTACTTTGTGTTGGTGATATTAACTACGGCTGCTCCGGATTTTCCCCAATATAAGGGTTTCAGTTATCATGTCAAGATGCAAGGGGGTTTCACTTGCTCTAATAGTCGATCGCCGAGAAGCCTGAGATAATCCGATGGTTGAAAGTACAGTAGTAAATTCCTTGTTATTCAGTTGGTACAACAATGATTATGGGTCTGACAGTAAGATGCAACACTAAGTGGGTATAGTATGACTAGCAGCGTTCTCTGCTTGCGCAAATCTAGCATGATCCGGCAATGTTCTACCTGTTCCCTTTGTCAGGTTCTCATGAGCATGGAGGTGCTACACGATACAACAGGGAAGAAGGAAGCGGTTGTGTACTATATGGACACCCCTTTACCATATGCAATTGAAGAGAATTTCGGGGGATGCTTCTTTGAAGATGATGTTGATCTTGCACAAGTTCTTCAAGATCAGGTTTCGTGCCGTTCCCTGTTCATATCTTATTTGGCTGTGTCCATCATGTCCTGGCTTGCGTGTTGTTGTCGTTGCTCCTGTTAGTTTGCATTAGAAACCTCAGTCAGTTATTCTATCCTAGACATTTGTCCGTTGGGGAGGGTATGATGCTGCAGTTTTCTGTTGTCTTGTGCATAGTAATCTCAGCCAAATGTTTTTCTATCCAAGGGCCAAAGCTGTTCATTGTTTTATGTCAAGCTTGACCAGGTCTAGTAATATGATGTAGACCATTTCTAGTGGATCATATTGGTACTTAGGTAGTTATCTTAAATCACACACCATAAAAATGATTCATCTTTCATGGCATTTACGATCCAAGGGCCAAAGCTTTTCATGACATTTACACTGCAAAATTACAAGCTAATTGCTTGTCGCCAGATCCAAATGGGTCATTGGTTCACCAAATGACCAAATATGTGGAATCTTCATTTGAAGTGTTTAGGCGGAATTGATATGTTTTTCTTGTTTGTAGCACAAACAGTGTAGTACAAAATATGACAGAAAATTCTCATTAATTTGCCTATTGTCACACTCTGTTCAGGAAATAGTGTATCAATTAATCCAAGGAAATGATGGAAGTGGTTCATCTAGGACTCATTCAGATCCTAGTTCTAGTTGTGGCCATCCACGAAAATCGAGTAGGCGAAGATTAAAAAGAGGCGCAAATTATGAGTCACAGCTAGCTGTCGATGAAGCTTTAGCTAGAGACTTGCAGGCGATGGAGGACCAAATTGCTAGGGCAACGATAGATGACAAGAAGAGAAAAGAAGGTGATTAGTTGTCTGCTGGTACTCTTCTATATCTTGCAACTCAATATGGTACGACTTTTAAATGTTGTTAAAACACCTGTTTAGGAAGAAAGCCTGTAAGTTCTTCAACATCCAACAATGGCAATACTTCTGTTAGCAGATCTTCTCAGGTATTTACTTTCGACAGCTTTGATTCTACAGATTTGCTTCAAATAATCTATTATATAACTAAAACAATGAAGATAAAGCCACCTTGTTATTCCACATAGGCTAAATTATTGGTTCGTTAATATATGGTGGGTCCTAATTATAACGGAGGAGATTTAAAATCTAACATCAAAGCTACATGCGTACATGTGTTCGCATCCAAACACTAAAGCTAATGTCCGACTTGGCCAGAAGTATTCAGATCGTATCGGAGTTGTATTGGCTGATGTCATGAAATAATCAAATGGGAAATCTTTTTGCTTTGTATATGCTTCACACGGATCATGACTAAGGTATATCATATTTGTGTGGCCTCTGGCTCGGCAAGACAGACGTGGTGGCAATTTTCAAATTTGCATTAGTTTACTTTAGCTGTACACCTTTATTAGTGGAGAAAAACATAGATCTATCTACGCATAAAGTCTGGAACAAAAAGTAAAATAGTTATATTTATCTGATTTATCTGTGAATTCAACGTAAAACTAAAATGTGGAATAAAAATAAAATACAACTAAGGAACAAACAATACCTACGACCCTCAACACGCTTCGTTCTTACACAGATGACATCCTAGAATACATGCAGTAAAAAAATTCTAACTCTGGGTATACATAAAAAATAATATTTACATTAGTCAAGTAAAAATACTACCTCCTCCTTCCATGTATACATGGCCAACTAGTCTTGTCTCAAATCAGACCTGTTTAAGTTTGATAAGTTCATAGAAAAATATCAGCATCTACAATGCCAAATCAATATCACCATATCTATTATGAAGTATGTTTTCGTAATATATTCATTGGGTGCTGTAGATGCGGATGTATTTTTCCTACAATCTTGGTCAAATTTGAATAATTTTAACTTGAGAAAAGATTAATTGGCCTTGCATAAAATGGAAGGAAGGAGTATCATTTTGCGCAGATCTTCTTTCATAATACTACACTTACAGTTTTATAATGTGCATTCATATGAAATATGATCATCAATGTTGCGTGCTGAAGACCGTGAAAATTAAGGCGTGAAAGAGTATTAACACCATAATGAAAATTTAGCGACGCAAATATTGTGCCGCACCTGCTAGTTATATTTTATTTAATATGTGCTTTCCTCTATCTTGCCACTGTAGGTATTAACGGAGGATGGAGTTGATCCTGATAATATGACTTATGAGGTGTGTAGCATCAAGTGCTTTGTGTGGCCAGTATATTCCCTAATGTTCCATCAAGGGTTGTGCCCCACTACCAGTTAAATTTTTGGTTCCCTGATATATTATCTCTGAAAGGACTCTTGTAGTCTTTGATGTGAATCGTGGATAACAAGTGTATAGATATTATCTTGTTTATAGTAAGTAGTACGAAAAAATAAAATATACATCCGTTTGTTTCGACATCTATTAAGCTATGTTCTATATACATAAAAATGGGATACTACATGCTATACCTCTTCAATTTTTGAATCACTTTTGTATTACAGGAACTACAACAATTAGGGGAAACTATTGGGACTGAAAGTAAAGGGTTGCCAGAAGATGTGATAGCTCTCCTTAAGTCTTCAACATACAAAATTGGGATATTCTCAAGAAAGGAAAAACATGATGAGTATGTCCTCAAACCGTCACTTTTTTATTGAACATGTGATATAAATTTGTGCATAATTGTCATGGACAGCTATGCACAAGCCACTCGCCATTTTACCCCAAGAACCTGCTTCACTGATTAATCTATTGAGTAGTATCTTTATAATCTTAAGGTTCATCATATGACATTGTGCCAGCATGTGATGTTCCTAAGGTGGCGTACTATTTTCTATGTATGCTGTAAATGCTCATATCAATCCATATTTTAAGTAGCAAACTATATAAATATCCTCTTCTGTTAATGTTTAAACAAACAGATGTGTCATATGCTGTATGGCTTACAAGAACCGCGATAAGCTGACTACATTGCCCTGTCAGCATCAGTACCATCGAACTTGTGTTGCCAAATGGTTGAAGATCAATAAGGTAAGCTACCTTGCATTCGCAGCTTTTGTCATTGATGAGTATTGCTTCCACAGGAACTTCTAGGGATTGTTGTAGTTTTCTGTGAGTGTGCGCAGATTGCTACTTGCCATGTATTTGTTTCCTGGATCTTTGTTCATTGTTAAGTTCAGTCAGGCGTTAGCTCAGAACCCTTTGTGTACTTCCTGATATGTATCAATGTATGTCAAGTGCGGTTTATTTTTCGTCCCGATAGGAAGGGAAGTTACGGCTAGAAATCTCGTAGATATAGTTTAGAACAAATGATGGTGCTGGAAGAAACAGCTCACCTGATTGTTCATGATAGGGGAGGGGATGTCTTGTATTGCTTGCTGTTGGTAGTATGACCGTTTTCGTTTACTGTATTGTCTCTTAAGATGTTTGGCGTCTGACCAGCCTAGTTCAATTCGTTGTGCTGCGTTGACAGGTATGCCCCGTTTGCAACAAGGAGGTTTTTGGGTCGTGACAGCAAAGACCGTAGATTCACCCGACGGCCAATGCCGACATGCTTAAGAAACGTTGTCGCTCACGCAGGCCGCGAAAAAGGCAACGCAATGTACTCTTTAGTTATCGTATAAGATGAACTGGAGCTTCTGTTGCATCACCAGCAAAATAAAGAAGGTAGATGCACATGTTGAGTTTAGCACTTTAGCTGTTATTATGTGACTTGGAGTAGTAATGGATTTCCCACGGGTTCCAAGCTTGGCGCCTCACTGTATCGCACCATACTGTAGATTGTGAGTACCCGTGACCTATTCCCTGAAAAAAGAAAAAGTGTAGTGGTGACCGTTGGCATGCTTCCTCTGGGTTGCCTCTCAGTATTGTCTTGTTCCATGGCTTGGATTGGATAAATAAATCTATGGAATCGGACCTTGTCTGGGCAGTTAAGATTTTCTGGATTTTGACTTCTGAACCAACCTGATGGGACTCTCTTCTTAGCTACTCTCTCCGTCTAGGTGTGTAAGTCATTCTATAAAAACCAAATAATCCCAAAACACTTAGGCACCATACATTAATTTCCTCCTCGTTTCTTGTTTTGTGGCATATCAACCAATAAGATATGTGGGCCGTGCATGCTTTTAATGACTTGAGACTACCAAACATAACATGTAGTGGTTAGTTCATTGCATGCAATGCTATTAATTAGCAAAAAGACATTAAATTTTCTCGTTTTCCTCTCCGCCTTGATCGCGATGCACAACGTAAGATGAGTTACACACCTCAACGGAGGAAGTACTCAAGGCAAGGTAGGAGTAATCCTTCCATCCGTATATCAAATGGACATATAAGTATGTTGGAGAAAAGGGGACAAGCATGACGTTCACCGGAATAAAATTCCACACACGCAACAACCCTAGTAGGCAGTAAAATACGGCTTGTCCATAATTGGTGGCCACATAGTACAAAATTTCTGAGCTCATTGGCCTAGCTCGGACTAGATATTTTTGCTGGATATGTACGGGTTAGTTTTTTTTTCGGGTTGATGTGCGGAGTAGTTAACTTACCTGGATGATAAGTACCACACGATGCGTGGCACTCTGGCCCTGACGATTTTCGATGGCAATTCTAGTCACGCAAAGATAACAAACCCAGTGACACAAGTTTCTGTCAAAAATAAACTAAAGCATGAAAGTTGTTATGCTTGTCAACTAAAGTTGTCATCTTCAGATAACTAAACTTGCCCTCGAACGTTCAGAGTTGTCATGTGCTTGTACTTAACGTTTGACACTTATCAAGGTCCTTAACTTAACGGTTCATAAGGATTCAATGAGCAAGCACCTGGATGGCCCCAATCTCTTTTTCTCAGTCCATCAGCAATCCATAGTCTGTTCTAGATTAGTGTCAAGGTGCGGCTTGCGGATGCATGAAAGAAACTGCACTCCATATGCAGACTTGGCCAGCAATCTTGCATGTAATCTCATCGGTCCTCGTCCACAGAGTGATGTTTTGAACCTCAGTCCAAAGAGATATGAAGGAATCCATCACGACAGCAGAGTTAATCCTCCGTAAACCCCTCCTCCAATTCCATGAGCTTAAAGCCTCTTTCACTGTAATGCCCTTATCCCTTGAGAGCCCCAAAAGAGCTGACACCATTTCCATTGGAGCTTGCCCATCTGGCCATCTATGTTTCTAGAAACTCACTTTTTCCCGTTCCAAAAGCCTACGTAATTTTATTATACTTGCTCTTATGCCTGCTTGCGGTTAGTGCACTACTAAGAAAAGGGCTATAGATAGAATTGACACTAATGACGCACCAGACATGTGGTGCGCCATTACTATATACTAATGGCGCACCATCTGTTAATACGCCACGCACCAGGCATACGGTGCGCCACTAGTAACAAAATGTTTTTTTTCATTTTTTCAAACATACTAATGACGCATCCGGGCAGAGTGCACCATTACTATATACTAATGGCGCACCAGCCATAGAGTGCGCCACTACTGTATTTTTTTTACTTTTTTGCAAAACTACTAATGGCGCACCGTTGCATAATGCGCCATTACTAGTTTAAACTAGTAATGGCGCACTGTGCCACGGTGCGCCATTAGTATAAAAATTATTTTTTTTTACTTTTTTGCAAAACTACTAATGGCGCATGTCTATGTGATGCGCCATTAGTATGTTGGGTTACTAATGGCGCATGTCTCTGTGGTGCGCCATTAGTAACCTGGGACCAGCTAGATATTTTTGGACAGCCACACCTACACACTCACTTTCCCCACTTCATTCCTCCCACCTCCTTCTCTAAGCTTGTCGGCTGCCTCCTCCTCCTCACCTCATTTGCACCATAGACTCATCAAAATTAAGTGTTGAAATACCTTTTTTGATAGGTAAGTAAGGGGAAAGCTATCTTCATGTTGAAGATCAACTTTTTTTCTCCCTAACTCGCTCCAACAACGTGCACATGCACTTTTTGTGGCCTAGCTAGATCTATGTATGTTTGTGGTGTTGCATATGTTTGTGGTGTTACATATATGTTTGTGTTTGCAGGTACCGGTATTTGAAATGCGATAGTTGCCAATATTTTGCCGGAATGTTGATTCATTTCCGTTTCGGCGAGAATTTTGGCACTATGCATTCTTTTTGGTCCTATTTTTAGGGAAAGTCATGCCAAATTTTTTCTTGGTTCTAAAATATCGTTTTGCTCTACCCCGCAGGCGACCATGGTCCGCACGATGACCGAAGGCATCGTGAATAGGTTTTTGAGCTCCGCGAAGGCCGAGATGCTTCAAAAGAACGAGACGGAGATAAGATGTCCGTGTCGAAGATGCAAGCTAAAGAGCCTTATTGCGGACCCGGATTCCGGGCAGGTGCGGGACCACCTGCTCTTGCGTGGTTTCATGGATGGCTATCGATGGCAAGGTGATGAAGATGACTATGAAGTCGTCCATGGGGGCCGGGCAAGAAATGAGGAAGGGTAGCAAGACAACCACCGCGGCTCGGGCGGGCGAGAAGACGAAGAATCTCCAGGACATGATCACGACGGTGATGCTGTACACAGTCATCATGTAGAAGATGCCGTACATGATGATGAGGAAGATGCCGGAGCAGACGAAGGGCATGATCATGAAGATCTAGATGCCGGAGGAGCAGACGACGGTGGACCATCGATGGGCTGGGTGCAGGACCCTCATATTCAAGAGCTGCTTCTCAAGCAGACGGATAACGCAAGAGCTGCTGCCCGAGAGAAAGCCAAGCTGGATCAACTAGAGATAGATGCGGTTACTCCATTGTATGAAGGATGCAGACCCGAGGATACCCGCCTGAAAGTAACGCTCATGGCTTTGGAGATGAAGGTAAAACACAAAATGACTGACGCATGCTTCGACGAGAACATGTCATTTTGGCACGAACGTCTTCCCAAGGAGAACAAGTGCCCGACCAGTTTCGAGGAGGCGAAGAAAGTCGTGTGTCCTCTGAATTTACCGCACGTGAAATACCATGTGTGCATGAACAATTGCATCATTTATCGGGGCGAGCACGCAGAGTCTACCATATGTCCGGTGTGCGGCGTCACTAGATACAAGAAGAGGAAGAAAGCTCCTCGAAAAGTGGTGTGGTACTTTCTGATCACTCCTCGTCTGCAGCGGTATTTCGCGGACCCTAAGGTAGCAAAGCTCCTGCGTTGGCACGCGGATAGGGAGGAGAAGAAGCGAGAAGATGATGCAAATGATCCGGAGATAAATAAAAAAGACAAGATGCCGAGTCACCCTAAGGATGGGAGCCAGTGGCAAGCGTTGAATTTCGAACACCCAGAATTTAGGAAGGATCCAAAGAACATCGTGCTGGGCGCGAGCACCGATGGAGTCAATCCGTTTGGCAGCCAGAGAAGCATACATAGCACCTGGCCTGTGTTTGTGTGGATGTACAACCTTCCCCCCTGGTTGTGCATGAAGAGGAAGTACATTCACATGAGTATGCTAATTGAAGGGCCGAAACAACCAGGGAACGACATCAATCTGTATCTGGGCTGCTGAAAAAGGAGCTAGACACGCTGTGGAAAACGCCAGCCAATACGTGGGACGCCGCAGAGAAAGAATATTTCCCTATGAGAGCCGCACTGCTCACGACGGTGCACGACTATCTCGGTTACGGATATCTCGCGGGGCAAGTGGTCCACGGATTTTCTGGATGCGTCAGGTGCATGGATGACACAACATATCGCCAGCTAGATAGAGATCCCGGGTCTTCGAAAACTGTGTTCATGGAACATCGAAGGTGGTTTCGCGACGATGACCCGTGGAGGAAACGCAAGGATCTGTTCGATGGTGAAACCGAACTCCGAAGACGCTCGCGTACGAGGAGCGGCGAGGAAATAGACGGGCTGTTGAAAAATTGAAAAGATTGCCCACTGCCGGGAAAGAAGCAAAAGGCGCCAGAGCCGGGAAAGAAGCGAAAGGCGCCAGAGCCGCTGCTGAAGGTATGGAAAACAAGGTCTGTTTTCTGGGACTTGTCGTACTGGAAGATCCATCGTGTGCCTCACAGCCTTGATGCCATGCATATCACGAAGAACGTGTGCGAGAGTCTGCTTGGTACCCTGCTCAACATGCCAGAGAGGACCAAAGATGGGCCAAAAGCAAGGGCAGACTTGAAATCAATGGGCATCAGGCAGGAGCTTCACGCTAATGATGATGATGATGATAATGATGATGAGGCGAAGCAGGACACAGAAAGTCGTCGCAAAGGCAAAAAGGCCAAGAAGACCGGAAATGACTACCCTCTCGCGTGCTTCACTCTAAGTCAGGAGGAGATCGAGCAGTTTTTCACCTGCCTCATAGGAGTAAAACTTCCAAACGGTTACACGGAGAAGATAAGCAGATACCTAGACCCAGCGAAGCAGAAGTTCAGCGGGATGAAGTCTCACGACTGTTACGTGCTGATGACACAGATACTTCTAGTTGCAATCCGTGGGATCATGGACGCGCACGTCCGTGAAACGCTATTTGGCCTATGCAACTTTTTCGACGTCATCTCTCGGAAGTCAGTTGGCGTGAGGCAACTCAGAAGG